AGCAGCAGGGTGGTGCGGCAAAAGCCAGTGAGAAGAGGGCCAGCAGGACGCGGGGAGGTCAGACTGAGCCCGCGGCCGACGATCCCCAGTCCTCGGCGAAGCAGGCGCTGCAGGGCGCGGGGCGAGGCCCGGCCCTTGCACCGCAGCAGAGCCGACGTCACGGGTGGGCGGAAAGTGCGCGCCGGGGTGGGGCGGCGCGGGCGGGCAGGCGGCCCGCGAGATCCTCGGGGGGGGTCTTCCTTTTTGTCGGTCCTTTTTGTTCCTTGACCTGTTCCGCGTCTGGAAAAAGTGGCTTCCCAATTCTGCCGGGGCGCCAGGTGGCTTCAGGGATACCTCCGATGCTGAGGTCCGACCAGGGGCGTTTAAGTTCCCTCCCCCTGGCATAAGCCCGCTTCTCAGCGCACTCGTGGGACTCGGGTGACTTTTCTGTGGTTTGCTGTCTTCCATCCGCGGGCCAGAGTTGAGCTGACCCGTGCCCCTGACGAGCCCGCCGCCGCCTCCTCCGCCTCCTCCTCCGAAGAAAAAGGGGGCCGCCTCTGGGGCGTTCAGCAGCCGCACGATCCGGCTGACTCGGTCCCGCTCTCTCACGGAGGGATTCGGGAAGGCGGTGAACAGCACCTCCTGAGCCAGGGCGAGCGAAACCCATCAGCCCTCTGGGCGTTGGTGGCTTGCAAGCTAGCTATTCCAACCAGCTTCTTTCCATTCGGAAGGGGCTAGTCCTCCCCCATACCTCCGTCGCACCACTTCTTCCCTTGACACCCTTCTTTCCTAAACCTCCTGTCAGTATTCGCCCACTGACGAGCAAGCGACATTCATGGACTCAGTAGGACAAGAAACATCGAAGCCCCCTCCTCCCCATCATCATCATCATCATCATCATCATCATCATCATCATCATCATCATCATCATCAGCAGCATCATCATCATCATCAACAACATCATCATCATCATCATCAGCATCATCATCATCATCAACAACAACAACATCATCATCATCATCATCAGCAGCAGCATCAGCATCAGCATCATCATCATCATCAGCAGCAGCAGCATGCTCAGCATCATCAGCATCATCACCTTCCATCATCATCATCATCATCATCATCATCATCATCATCATCATCATCATTATCCCCACCACCACCGCCACCACCACCACCATCATCATCAGCAGCATCAGCATCCGCATCCGCATCCGCATCATCATGATCATCATCATCATCATCATCATCATCATCATCATCATCACCATCATCGTCGTCACCATCAGCAGCAGCATCATCACCACCATTATCATCATCATCATCAAGCCCCTCCTCCTTCTCGATCCTGCTAAACCATGGCAGGAGGTATGGTGTGGCTTGCGCTTGTGCCAGAGCAGCGAGGCGAAGGAGGTCCTGGCCCTCGGAGAGGTCCTCGTGCCAGTCGAGCACGGGGTACTCCCGCGCGCCCTCCGGTCGGAAGAACCGTATTCCTTCTCTTCGTCCATCCTCGTTTTGTCCTCCTCCGCATCCATCCCTCAAGATCCGCCCTAGATCCCGTGCGCACTGCAATCCCATCAAGGCGTGCTCCACACCTAACTCATTGTTCCCCTCCTCGTACCTCCTCCACCCTCTCATGTTCCTCCCACTCCCCGTTCTCCTTCCCCCCTCCTCGTCCTCCTTCTGCACGCTGCACGCCGTTTTCGTGAGTATTCTTCTCATTCTCCCCCTCCTCCTCCACACTGGTTCCTCGGTTCCTCACGGCATGAATCTTCGGACGTTGCCGCTTCCCCCAGGGAGGCCCGGTCGGGCCCCACCTGGGGGAGCAGTACAAAAACGAGAAGATTAGGGATCTGGGTCCCGCAGCCAGAGGAGGGAGAGGGAGAGACCATCAGACCTCAAACCACATCGCAAGAACACCACGCCATCCTCCTCCACCTCCTCTTGCTCCCCGACTTCCACGCTCGCCTGTGCTCCTCGCCATCCCCCTCCCGCCGCACCCGCCCCTTCGAGGTCCCACACTGAGCACTCCCTGCGGGGCGCACCCCCCCCCAAGCGACCCGCCCGAGCAGGAGCCACGCATCGCCCGACGGCAAATTTGCCATCACTCGGACGTCCACTCCCCCGTGCAAGTTTCGACTCCGTGCGTGCATCTTCGCGAAATGATCTAATATCCTCCTCGAGGAAGAAGGAACAAATGCGCACGTCCGAGCGGTGCCAAGCACGCGGACGCCGCGCGCCGGCCGCGCCAGGAGGAGGGGTGGCGTCGGGTCCGATGGGGAGGAGGGAGGAGGACGAGGAGGAGGACGAGGAGGAGGATAGGGAGGAGGAGGAGGAGGAGGAGGAGGAGGAGGAGGAGGAGGAGGAGGAGGAGGGGTAGGAGGAGGAGGGAGGAGGAGAAGGAGGAGGAGGAGGAGGGAGGAGGAGAAGGAGGAGGAGGAGGAGGACGAGGAAGAGGAGGACAACGACGACGACGAGGAGCCCCCCCCAGAGGGGGAGGGCTCCCCCGACCAAGCGCTCCAGCCGCGAGCCGTGAATGGCGACGACTCCGAGGGGATGACTCCACAGGGCCTCGCCCAAGACATCCGACTAGAGAGTGCTCCGACTATGACGCCATTCCTCCTCCTCCTCCTTACAACGCGAGAGCCACGCAGCAGAACGCCACGACAGAAAGCACATGAACGGCCATCGATCCTCGACGCGGGCAGGCAGCCGGATGACGATCTGGCGGGCAGTGCCGCGTGCGACCCACGACGAGCGAGGGCGCGTGCTCGGGAAGACCGCTGGGCGACGCTAGGCGCCCACTGGCGCTGGCGCCGCGGCGCCCTCCCGTGGCCCGATCTGTGCGCGATGGCAGATTGAGAAACTGAGGCAGGCCGATGGCGTGACAACGACCTCGACGACGACGGCGCCGCCTGGCGCCCGCCGGCGCTGACGCCGGGGCGCTGGTCTCGATCTGTGCGTGCGCCCGTTCGTGGCGATAGATCCTACTCGTCCTACGGCGACGACGACGACGACGATAACGACAACGATGACCAAGAAGGCGACGAAGAAGACGAAGATGACGTCGTCTGCGGGTGTCGCTGACTGCAGCAGCGGGGGCGGCCTGCAGTGCCCGGCGCGAGACGCGCAGGTCCTCCTCCAGCTCCTTGCAGCAAGGCGGCCAAGGACCTCAACCTCTCAGCCCGTTCCGCGAGATGCCATAGCGACCTTGCGCCGTGGCTTGCGCGGGCCGCCAGCGCGGCACGCCACACTGGAGATGAGGGCACCTGCGCGCGACCTTACGCGGGCAGCTGACGCGCGAATGTCGATGCTGTCGACCCCGTTTTCTTTTGTCTCCTCTCCAACCTGCCCAGTTCAGCACGAATGGAACGGGCCCTGGGGGAAAGGGTCCTCCTCCTCCTCCTCCTCCTCCTCCTCCTCCTCCTCCTTCTGCAGGCAAAGGGTCCCTGATAGGCCCTGGGACCGTCAGAACGCGTCTCGGGATGGCGAGCTGGCCCCGGGGGAAGCCCTGGAGGACCCCTGCTTGTGAATTGGACCTCGGCCCAACCTTTGGCCTGGAACTGTGCGTGGATCCTCCCTGGCCAAAAATTATTAACACATACTCAAAAATAGTCAACAAAGTCTGAAACAATCGTCCCCTGACTATTTTCTAACCATTTTTGAATATTCCCCCGATGCTGGGTCATGCCCGACTCAAACCTAGACCTGGACCCCCCTCGCGTCGCAAACAATAAAAAACAATACGAACATATTCGTCAGATTTGGGCCTTCGAAGGCCCCTCGCCGAACCCTGGGACCTTCGAAGAACTGCCTTGGATGGAAAAATCAAAACAATCCCCGTGGACGAGGAGCGAAACTTCAGGGGGGCCGCGGGGCGAACAGAAAACACGTCGTCCGAGGTCTGAGTGGGCGAGAAGTCGGCGGCACGCAGGGGGGGGAGCATGTACGGGGAGGGGGATCAACTTTTTAGAATGAAGTTACTTCTTAGAAGGCGCCGGTCTTACACCTGTAACAAACAACCTCCTTCTAAGAAGCCTTCCCCCTCCCTCAAACCCCCTCTGCGCGTGGCCGAAGAAGGGCACAGCACGAAGCTGGAAACGCACCAGCTGGACTCACACTCCGAGGGCTGGCGTGCCCGGTAACACGAAGACCGAGCGCGGGAAAGGCGCGCGACCGACCAGCTCTCACCAACCCTGGCCAGGTCACGCGCATCCAGATTCACGGTACGGCCAGAGGGCGTATACAATCAAAACTCACTTGTCATCAACATGCGGGAAGTACTGCCAACTAATCCGTCCCAGCAGAAACACCTTGGGATCAGATTTCCTCCTCCGCAGAAGAACAGCCTCCGCAAGAAGGCGGTCCCAGACCGCCTGAATCGCAGGCGTGCTCGCTGAAGCGGAGGAGGAGGAGGCCGCGGGAAGAAAGGCCAGAGGTGCACAAGATGCACCAGCCTCGCTGGGGGCTGCGGCTGCAGCCTCAGCCGCCTCGCAAGAGTACGAGCTATCGCGCGCACAGGATGCGGCTAAACTATGGCCCCCAGGGCCAATGGAACAGAGCTTGCGCTGCAGCCTCCTCGCCTTCAAACTCCAAGTCGACGGAGGAGACCGCCGCGGCGGCGGACGGACGCGAGACTGCGTGCTGAACGCCTGGCGCGTTCCCAGACGGAGCACTCGAAGAAGACATCCCTCCTCCACCAACAAACTCAACGACGACGGCGGCTTCCTCCTCCATACAAGGCGGGGCTGGTCCCCGCTCGACGGAGATACCTGGGCGGTTGGGATGGCGTCCTTTGCAGATCGGGCCCCTGTTCTCGGATCTGGTGGCCCCAGTCGGTCCGCGGCACGTTTTGCCCAGACCAGCAACCCTACCGGGGTAGGCCCTACCGTGAGAACAGTATCAGTAACAGACTAGGCGCCCAACTAGCTCCGAGCTGTCAGAGCACAGCAGGCCGTTGCTGCGACGTCCATGCTCCGGAAGGACAGACGGGGAGAGGGAGGAGGAAGTGCGGTAGACAGGAGCGGACTCGACCACGCGGACTACATTTCCAAAAGCCAGGGGAGGAAGAGAGCCCTGGCAGCTGGAAAATCGCCCATTGGCACCTCGCACGGACTTGCTTGGGCGCTGGCAGTGGTCTGCGGTATTCAACCCCATCCAAGTTCAACCGCGGCCAGGACGGAAGCAGGCGAGCACCTAGCTTGGCAACTGCTTTGGCCAGCTTGAAGTCGACATCCTGGCGCGAACAAGATTCGGTTGAGGGGCGAGGATGACCACTATACCCCTCCCCAGGCGTAGTCGGGTTGGCTCCCAAGCCGGCCCAGTGGTTGCCAAAACGGCACATCCTATCATGCTGATCGACCCATTCATCAAGAGACAAATGGGCTTTGAACTGGAAACGCTGGCGCACTTTCCAGATGTCGCGTAGGGGTGAGAGAGATAGAGAGAGAGAGAGAGAAACCTGAATAGCAACGTTTGGGCGAAAACTGATCCAAACGTGGGAGGGCAGAGTGGCAACTTGACCAATTGCGCATCCGTATAAAAGAAAGCCATACTCCAAAGTAGCGAAAAGCACAGACTGGCAGACTCCCCCGCGGGGGCCGTCTGGGGATACTGCGGCGGAACAGGACCGTACATCATGGCAAACAATGCACCTGATTCATCAACAGAGGCGAAGCACCAGCCAGCACGGCTTAGCTCGCGAACTACATGCGCACTAGCTCTGCCGTCTGCGAACAAAAAATACAGCGAAACTCAAACTGGTGAAAACCTGGAGGCATATCTTCACGAGCCCAGAAAGTAGCAGCGGCCTCCAGAGCAGGCCGTGGGAAATAATCGCCTGGCGGCTCACGCAGCGGTGCGATGAGAGAGCCGGGGTCTAGCCGGGGACTAGTGGTATCCACTTGTTTCACAGGGAAACCCAAAACCTTGAGCCAAAATCGCTACGGACTGCCGTCAAAACTGGTGGCAAGGACGCACGACAACGATGCACACCCCTTGGATGACGGTGCCGAAAAGCTTTTGGAGCGGGGCGGGCCCTCGAACGCAGTCCAGGATGGACCGAGGAGGCAAAGATGCAAGGGGTACAGTCCGGCCGCTGACAGAAGGAACGCTAAATAAGGAACGAAGCCCCTTCTTGGCCCTGTAAGCGCCTCCGTGCCCCAGGACGGCAAGAGGAACAGCACTGGAGGAACCTAAGGAACATCGAGTCCCTTCCGAACCCAAACTGTTCCTTATTTCAGCGTCTTGACTGTACCCCCTCGAGAAGATCCCATCCTTACCATCGGTGTCGGTTTGTAGGTGCGCATTTCCTTATTCGGCGTTACGACACTGGGCCGAAGGGGGGGAGGGAGGGGGAGCGGTCTGGCTCCGGACCCCTTCTCAGCGCCAACGTCTGCAGCAGTGCGTCCCATTGGGGGAGACCCCACCTGCTCGAGACAGGCGCCCCAAAACAGCTAAGATCTCCTCCTTGGGGGGGGGGGGGAGGGGTGGTGCGAGAGCCCGCGCCGATTGGCAAAACAATGAATATTACACCAAAGAGAAGCCCCAAACACAGGATGGTTTTCGCTGAGGAGATCGACCGGGAACCCGGGAGCCCAGGAACCCAAAACCCACCGAAATCGGCCCGGAACCAATAACCGGGAACCCGGGAGCCCAGAACTGGGAACCCGGGAGCTGGCGGGATACTTTCGCCAAAATCTTTCAACTTCCGCTAGGACCCCTTCAGCGCAAGAACTGGTTGGGGAAAAAGGCGACCAGCAATGCGAGGCGGGGATTGGGGTATATGCTGGGAACCGACGTCCTGGTGCCCCAGCGGGCGGTGGATATGGGTATATGTTGGCCCCCGGTGGCCCGAATATATCCATATCCACCGCCTGCCGAGGTCTCCAATTATTGATCCTCCATGCGGTGGTCATGTATAAATCCCCGCCTCGGAAACAAGATCCTGCCTCGACGACGTGGGCCCCCGGCTCCGACGCCGCGCGGCTCCGTTCGGCCGCTGGGCCCGGGAGCGCTCCCCCGCTCCCGGGAGGCGGAGGCCGCCCCTCACGCCGCGGACTCTTCGCGCCGTGGGCAGCTTCTTCCCACGGCAACCAGCTCCGCGCTCTCGCCCAGGAGGAGGAAGAGCAAGAGGAGGAGGAGGAGGAGGAGGAGGAGGAGGAGGAGGAGGAGGAGGAGCCACCCGCCCCTCGCTCTCGCTTCGACATCGCCCAGGCCGCGAGGCGCGAAGAGCTTCGCACCCTCGCGGTGGCCCTGGCTGCTTCCGTCGGCCCCAAGACCTGGAGGGGGGTCGAGGCAAACGGCGCGCCGCCGCCGCCTCCGCCGCCGCCGTGTCCTCGTCGTCGTCGTCGTGGCGGTACGAAGCTGCCGTGCACCAGTCCAGGGACCGAGGGTTGGGCCCAGCCAGGGCCTGAGGAAGTTGAGGAGGGGGGTGAAAGGGAAGAGGTACAAGGATGTGAAGGAGGGGGAAGAGGTGGAGGAGTAGGAGGAGGAGAAGAAGGAGGAGGAGGAGGAAGAGTGGCGGAGGAGGAGGAGGGGAAGAGGAGAAGGATGAGGATGAGGATGAGGATGAGGATGAGGATGAGGATGATGATGATGATGATGATGATGATGATGATGATGATGATGAGGAGGAGGAGGAGGAGGAGGATGAGGAGGAGGGAGGAGGAGGAGGGGGAGGATGAGTGGCGGTGTGCAGCTGGCGTCCCCCGAGGGGTCCTCCTGCGCCTCCAAGATGCACACGAACCGTCGCCGACCTGCACAACCCGCTGCAGGCGGCCGCGAGAGAGAGAGGCGCAGAGGCTGGCGGGGAGGGCGAGGGAGTGATGCAGGACGGCAGGGCAGGCTCCTCGTCCTCCTCCTCCTTCCCCCCCCCATCCTCCTCCTCCTCCTCCTCCTCCTCCTCCTCCTCCTCTCCTCCTCCTCCTCCTCCTCCCCCTCCTACTCCCCCGATCCTCCTCCTCCTCCTCCTCCTTCTCCTCCTCCTCCCCCCTCCTCCCGCCGATCCTCCTCCTCATCCCTCCTCCTGTTCTCCCTCCTCACTCCCGCCAACGCGTGCCACGACTGATGCAAGATGCGGGATGTGGGCCCGTCCTTCGTCTTTGCCGATCGGGCTGCGCTGGCATGGACAGAGAAGTATGACAAAGAATAACAAACATATCACTACACAGATCTCTTACGCAACAATAGGTCAAGTCGCTGCAACGTGACACGCAATGCAACGCCCGGAAGACTTTTCCGACGTTTCATTTAGCCTAAACCGTGCACGCAGAAAGATGAACAGTTCGAACAAGAACAAGGCAGGTTGAATCAATTGCCCTTGGGACATCTATGAATAACTCCACGGAAATGCTTGCGTCGGCTGTGCACGGAGTTCCAGTTGCGCACGTCCTCCCAGCAAAAAAAAGGTGCGAAGAAGCACGCAGAAACAACAACTCGAATCATGTACATCCGCAACAAATGAGTCGATCGAATACAGAATGCGGTGCTGCACCACAACATTACCAAAGAACACGAGAAACGTCCGTGCGGCACAAAAGGAGTACAATTCAACAAGGAAGCCGCTAGGTATGCAAATGCACAATCACACAGTGTGTGTGTATATATATATATATATATATATAGATACACTTCTGCCACATGAACACGCCACTCTACGCTGCAGCTGGTGCGAGTCCTCCTCCGTCTCCTCATCATCGACAGCAACAACGACAACCTCAGCGTCGTCGCCATCCTCCGTAGCAGCCACAAAATTACCAACATCATCAGCATCACCATCACAATTGCCATCATCATCAGCAGCATCATGATCAGCATCGTCATCACAGTCCTCATCAGCATCATCATCATCGGCAACATCATTATTATCGTCGTCGTCTTTACCATCACCGCGATTACCATCAGTATCATCGTCATCATCATCAGCATCATCATCGTCATCGTCATCAGCATCCATCATCTTCATCAGCCGCACCACCAGAACCATCACCACAAGCACTATCAGCATCGTCATCATTCATCAATATCGTCATCGTCAACGTCATCGTGATCATCATCAACATCATCTACAACACAATCAGCATCATTATCATCATTCGCAACGGCAGCCTCATCACATTCGTAACCAATATCAGACCATCTGATCATCATACCATCTTCATCCTTATCCAGCAGCATCATCATCGTCATCATCAGCGTCATCATCATCAGCATCATAGCCATCGTCATCGTGGTCGTCATCAACATCGTCATCGTAATAGTCATCGCCATCGTCATCGTCGTCATCATCACCTTCCTCCTCCTCCTCCTCATCCTAATGGCCCACATCCACATCCTCACCCACATCCTCATGACCCTACCCAGTCTCGTCCTCACCTCCTCGTCATACGTCTCATCCCTCCTCATCCTTTCGATTCGAGGGAGAAAGGCGAAGACGACGTCGACCGAAACGACGAGGGCAGCCGCGATGACGTAGTCGCTGCCAGCAGTGGCGACGGCGACGACGACGGTGGCAGAGGCGGTGGCGGCGGCAACGGCGGCGGCGACGATACGGGGCTCTCGTGGACTGCACAGCCTCCCGTCCGCAGCGGGGCTCCTCCGGGTCCGGCCTGACAGGGAAGCAGCCCGCGAAAGCCGACAATGTGCTGCTCCACAGGGCGAGCGAGCTGGCCGGGATGTGGCCCTGGGGCGGTCGACGACGACGACCACCACCACCATCACCACCACTACAAGGGGGACGAAAACTCCGAGGGCGACAACGATGATAATGACCCAGAAGATGAGGACATAGAGAACGACGATCACGCCGAGAGGGTCGACGAGGACGACACGGACGACGCCGCCGCCTAGGATGGCGAGGGCGACGCGGACGACAGCGACGAGAAATAGGAGGCCGAGAACTGCGAATACACGGAGAAGGGGGGAAGAGCAGAATGAGCAAAACAGGAGCCACCTTTAGCCACCTCCCTCCCGCTCCCCTTCCTCTCCCTCCCCGCCTCTTCTCCCCCTTCTCGCTTGCGGAAATAACAAGCCGAAACCATCACAACGATAGAAACATGTGGCAGCGTGGACCCCGAATAATGGACTCTTGCACTCTCGATGTGCGCTAGATTGAATGTCATCTACGGGATGCAGCATACGTGGCGCAACATGCGCGGAGCAATATGCGTGGTCTATGCAATCTACATGTGATAAAACCGATGAGGTGCACGCTGTGGAGGGCAAGCTACGGGATGCAATCTGTAATGTGCAACGCGTGTGTGTGTGAGTGTGTACGGTAACGATATAGGTCACAACCAAACAAGTGGTACCTTCGGAGGCAACTACTGGTAGACCTTCGTTTAAATATTATTAAGGAGGGTGAAGCCCCATTGGCGGGCTTTTACGCAACTAGATTAGGCCGCGGATCAAGCGGGACTAAACCGGATCAAGCGGGATGAAACCAGACTCAGCGGGATAAGGCCGGATCCGGCGGGATGAAGCCGCAGTAAGCCGGACTTCGGACCAGAGCAGAATCAGAACTTGACCTTCCAGGAGTGGCATCCGAAGCAACCGTTGCGGAGCAGCCAATGTGGCCTGGCGGCGAGCGAGGGGGGGGGAATGAAACGGAGAAGGCCTTCTCGGAAGGTTCGGAAGCCCCCCAGCCTTCCGAGACATCTTCTGAGCCTTCCCCGAAGACAGAAACAAAGCTTCTCGGGAGGCGCGAGGGCTTCTGAGAAGCTCCGCCACCTTCTGACAAGGCCTTCTCCTTCTCGCTTCCCCCAGGAGAGCACAGGAGTCGAATCGAACAATCGGATCGGCGATCGAAATGAATCGGATCGGTGGAAATCGGCAGCGGCGTCGGGAGAAGTCGAATCGGCAGACATCGGCAGGCTGGTATGCCTCCAATGAGAAATCGGGGCCCAAACCGAAATCCGAAGTCGAATCGAATCGGAATCGGAAGCCATCGAAATCGAATCGAGCCGAAGCGGAGGAGTCGCAGAGAGCCCTGCTCCCCCCCCACTCGCTCGCCGCCGAGCAGCGAAGCCAGAAGCGCTGGCCAGCGCACGGGGCGGCGGCGAGGCCAGCCTGCAGCAGGGCGACGACGCGGCGGCGGGCGGCCACCGCGCGGGATGCCGCGCGGGGGAGGCGGCAGCCAGGGCGCACGGGGCAGCGAGGCGAGGCGAGGCACTGCGACGACGGCGCGGGAACGCCGAAGAAAAGAAAACAGTGGAGGTCAGTCCGCAGGAAGCCTTGCGTCACGCCTTCCACAGCAACGCCACCGGCACCCAAGTAACCCAGGGCACCCTGGAGGCAAGCAGGGTGTTCCTTGGCATGGGTCTCCTCTGTAACCTGTTGGGGGGGGGGACCGAAGTGGGGAGGGCCTAGGGACAGGGGCCTTTTTGTCTGCCGATGTATCGAACCAAACCGCCCAGATTGAGTACCCCGAGTGCAAGGGCGGGGACCTCAGTAGGGCTACGTCTTCACTCTGTTATCAGGGTTCGGGCTTCTTTTGATCCTCGATGATCGCCCCTCCGAACCAAAGCAAGGGCCTCCGAAAACTCCCACCTTCACCACCTCTCCACGCATGCCTTCTTCCAGATCCCCGCAGACGACCGCAGGAACTCCTGACACTCCTTCGAGCCTCCTGAGAAGTATCCTCAAACCTGAAACACCCTCCTTCCGCTCCTCCTCCTCCTCCTCATCCTCCTCGTCCTCGATTTTCTCCTGCTCCCCCGCCTCCTCCATATTCTTCTGCTCTTCATCCTCGCCGCCTGCTCACCTGCCTTCTACTTGCCCTCTTCTCCGTTTCCGCTGATCCTTCCTGCTCGGCCGTCCCACCATGTCGTACCACGTGTCAACTCCTTCCTCACCCTTTCATCATCTCAAGCAAACGGTAACATCGATTACGGAACCGTGTCTGGCGCGAGGAAACCAAATTCACGGATCGGGGAAGGCACACACCGAAACATGGAGACCGCGAATCCAGTACCGCCTGACTTTGCGACGGAGCCCGGAAGAACGGAACCCGTCGCTAACCGACGCGCCTGAATGCATGCTTGAGTTTCCTCGACCCACCCACGAGGAGGAGGAAGCGGAAGCAAAGGCGGAGGCGGAGGAGTCGGAGGAGAAGGAAGAGGAGGAGGACGTGCCCAGAAAAAATCGAATCGACTAGTCGGATCGGCCATCGACATGAATCGTCTGGGCGGAATTCGGCAGCCGATCCAGAAAAAGTCGAATCGGCGAAAGTCGACAGGCCAAGGAGGCCCGCGTCGGGAAACCGAAATCCAGATCGAAATCCGAAGTCGAACCGGTTCGGCATCGGAAAAGATCGGGGACGAATCGAATCAAGCCAGAGGACTCGACACGATCACTGCGATCCCGTCCCCTCTTCCCCCTCCTCCTCCTCCTCCTCCTCCTCCTCCTCCTCATCATCATCCTCATCCTCATCCTCATCCTCCTCCCCCGTCTCAGCGGGCCTCCGCGAGACGCAGCCCGGCGTCTCCGCCGGCGTCCGCGCTCTTCGCCGCGGCGGAGTCCTGCGCGGGGCAGGCAGCGCCCTCTCCTCGATCGCTCCCCCCGTAGCCTCCTCCACGCAGTGGAGGAATAGGGGGGGGGGGCGACGGGAATGTAGATAGATAGACACAGCCTGACGGAGCACGGTGCCTTCTGGGCCTGGGCCACCATGAAAATCAGGAAGGGGAGCCACGCAAGGGGGGAAAAGGTATAGGATAGTACAGATACTGCAAGTACACATCGGGAGGGAGAGAGAAGACAAACTCGTACCACTCGAAGGCCTTATGGATCCCCTTGCCTTCTTGTATACGATGCTTCTTGTGCTGCTGTCTGCCACAATCATTGATCCTCCAATACACCCGCTCCCCCGCCGTGTAGTTCCACCTCTCCTGATCGTCACAAACCTCCTTCCAGTCCAAACCGTAGCAGGCAAAGAACTGATCCTCCCGGCGCCACGCGTGCATTTTACGACCGTGCCCCTGGTTGCCAATAGCCTTGACCATCGTGTGTAGATAACGCCTGTCTTTCTAGGCGAGAACCTGCGGCGCGACTCTGCAAGGTGCATGCCGACGCATGCGGGCGATGTGCCCTGCCCATTTGTGGGCTTGCAACAACGCAAATCTATCCCGCATAGTCACACTGAACCGCTCGATCGTCAAACTCATTTTCCGATTGACCCTCTTCTGGAAATCAACTACGGCCTTCTCGGGGTCCTTTCTCTGGTTGAGCATCAAGCGAATCATGTGACAATGCATCGCTCTGATAATATGATGGTGGCGCTTGGCATACATCAAGCTGCCTGACCAAAAGAAAGCCGCACTTTTCACCATGCTCTCTAGCAGCTGCAGTCGCCGTTCTAACATCCCCTGCTTAGCGCACAGCACGGCGCGATGCCTCAAGAAGGCCGCCCAGCCTCGAGAAATCACTCTCTGCGCGGCCGCCAATGCGTTGTGATCCATCGCGATCCACGATCCGAGACACCGGAATCCCTCCGCCCCGCCCGATCCTCGGCATCCTCACCTCCTCCAAAATAGTACCCGCAGTATCATCGGCAGCCGTCATCCAGTGGCAGTCCTTCACATGCACAACACAGCTCAGTCCCCGTGCAATCTCGCGCCGCGAATAAAGCATCTGGACGAGCATGCACGAGCTGGTCGCGCGCAAAAAATAGTTGCCAGCAAATGCAGCCAGCGGGAAACGTTTGACATCGGGCACTATATTTCTTCTTTGTCTCGTTCTGAACCCTAGAGAAGGCCCAGTCGGTGAATGTCCTCGGCCTGATGGCCGATTGTGGCGGAGGGGGTAGACCCGAACGACCTCAGCTTTCACAGCTTGAGGATTGGCGGAGCATTCGTGGCGTTCAAAGACAGGGCGCTGGCGCAGCGCTGCGGGCGCTGGAACAGCGATGCGTCCCAGGGCTACCTGTGCGAGGCGAGGGGCATGGCGCAGGTCGTGGCCAGCAGCATGGCAGACGCGGACTCGACAGTGGTCTGAGGAGGAAGGGCGCCGCAGCCGCGAGGGGCCTATGAGGCTCGAGGCGCAGGGTAGCTCACCCGGCAGTACAGGCCAAGGGCTAACGCGCAGGGGGAGCCTCGCGGGGCTGAGGAGCGGTCGCCCGTCGTGGCGGAAGGAAGGCGAGAGCGCCACAGGCGCACCAATGCTGGGTAGTGGCAGGGCTAGGTCCCCCCTCTGGGTGCGGGCAGGGCCCTGGAGTTGGGCCCGTGTCGCGGCGAGTGTGGAAGGGCAGCGAGTGCCAGAGCACGGGCGGAGGGCAGGCGGCCCGGGCAGACAGGCTGCCGGGCCGCGCGCTCATCATCATCATCATCATCATCATCATCATCATCATCATCATCATCATCATCATCATCATCATCATCATCATCATCATCATCATCATCATCATCATCATCATCATCATCATCATCATCATCATCATCATCATCATCATCATCATCATCATCATCATCGCATCATCATCAGCATCGTCATCATCAGCATCATCATCAGCATCAGCATCATCATCATCATCAGCATCATCATCATCATCAGCATCAGCATCAGCATCAGCATCATCATCATCAGCATCATCATCAGCATCATCAGCATCATCATCATCATAATCATCACCTTCATCATCATCAGCAGCAGCATCAGCATCAGCATCATCATCATCATCATCATCATCATCAGCATCATCATCATCATCCTCGTCATCATTATCATCATCTTCATCAGCATCAGCATCATCATCAGCATCAGCATCATCATCATCATCATCAGCATCATCGTCATCATCAGCATCATCATCATCAGCATCAGCATCATCATCATGATCATCATAATCATCACCATCATTATCATCAGCAGCATCAGCATCAGCATCATCATCATCATCATCATCGTCATCATCATCATCATCATCGCCATCATTATCATCATCTTCATCAGCATCATCATCATCAGCATCAGCAGCATCATCATCATCGTCATCATCAGCATCAGCATCAGCATCATCATCATCATCAGCATCATCATCAGCATAGCATCAGCATCAGTATCAGCATCATCATCAGCATCAGCATCAAATCAGCATCAGCATCAGCATCCTCATCATCATCATCATCAGCAGCATCAGCATCAGCATCATCATCACCATCACCATCATCCTCATACTCATCAGCATCAGCATCATCAGCATCTTCATCAGCATCGGCATCATCGTCATCGGCATCATCAGCATCATCAGCATCAGCATCAGCATCATCAGCATCATAATCATCACCATCAGCAGCATCATCAGCACCAGCATCATCATCATCATCATCATCGTCATCAGTATCATCGTCATCAGCATCGTCATCATCAGCATCAGCATCAGCATCAGCATCAGCATCATCATCATCATCATCAGCATCAGCATCATCATCATCAGCATCAGCATCCTCATCATCATAATCATCACCATCATCATCATCAGCAGCAGCATCAGCATCAGCATCAACATCATCATCATCATCATCATCATCAGCATCAACATCATCATCATCATCATCCTCGTCATCGTCAGCGGCATCATCATTCGCACCATCAGTATCACCATCAGCATCATCATCAGCATCATCATCATCATGATCAACATCATCATCAGCATCAGCATCAGCATCAGCATCAGCATATTCGTCATCACCATCATCATCAGCATCGTCATCAGCAGCAGCATCATCAGCAGCATCATCATGATCATCATAATCATCGTCAGCGTCATCAACATCAGCATCCTCATCGTCATCAGCAGCAGCATCATCATCGTCATCATCAATATCATCAACTGAAAAGGAAGAGAGGCGGTCTGAACGACAAAGCCCTTCGACGGCCTAGTACCGCGACCCGCCGTCGTCACGAGGCGGAGCGAGAGGGGCAAAACCTCCTCTTCCTCCTCTGCCTCTTCCTCCTGATTGTTGCACCTTCCTACCGTCCGCATCCTGAATCCACTTTCTCCTCCTCCTCCTCCTCCTCACCCTCCTCCCTCCTCCCCCCTTCCTCCTCCCTGATATTCCTCCTCCTCTTCCTCCTCCTCCTCTTCCTCCTCGGCCGCATCCTCCTCTTCCTCCTCCTCCTCCTCCTCCTCCCCCTCCTCCTTCATCCTCCTCCTCCTCCTCCACCTCCTCCTCATCCTCCCCCTCCTGCTCCTTCTCCTCCTCCTCCTGTTCTTCCTCCACCTCCTCCTCCTGCTCTTGCTTCTGCTCCTGCCTCTCTTCCTCCTCCTCCTCCTCCTCCTCCTCCTCCTCCTCCTCCTCCTCCTCTTCCTCCTCCTCCTGTTCCTCCTCCTCCTCCCCCTCCTCCGCCTCCTCCTCATGTTCCTCCTCCTCCTCCGCATCCTCCTTATCCTGCTCCTCCTCCTTCTCCTCCTCTTCCTCGGTCCTCCCTCCTCGTTCCTCGTTCCTCGTTCCTCCCTCCTCCCTCCACGTTCCTCATTCCTCGTTCATCGTTCATCGTTCCGCGCTCCTCGTTCCCCGTTCCTCACTCATCCCTCCTCCTCCTCACCAACCTCCCTTCTCCTCCTCCTCCTCATCCTCCTCCTCCTCCCCCTTCGCTTCTATTCTGTTTGACAGTATGCTCATTATTGGTCGTCTTCTTCATGTGCTAGCATTCACCGTATTATTAGTAGTCGCATCATTATGCTTATTATGATTAGCTGTATGGTTATGTTGCTTATTGTTACGTTTAGATAGGTGTTGCTGATAGTGTTGGTAGTCGTAGTATTGTTATGCGTAGTAATCTTCTTCTCAGTGTGTATCTTCCTCCTCCTCCTCCTGCTCTTCCACCTCCTCCTCCTGCTCCTCCTCCTCCCTATCCTTCCGTTCATGCCCCTTCTCCTCCTTCGCCTCCTCCTCCTCCTGTTCCGCCCTCCGCCCTCCTTCTCCTCCCCCCTGCTCTTGCTCCTGCTCCTGTCTCTCTTCCTCCTCCTCCTCCGCCTCCCCCTTCTCCTCCTCCTCATCATCATCATCCTCCTCTTCTTGCTCCTGCTCCTGCTCCAGCTCCTCATCCTCCTCCTCCTCATCATCAGCCTCCTCCCCCATACTCCTCCTACCCCTCCGCCCTCCGCCTCCTCCTCCTCCTCCTCCTCCCCATCCTCGCCATCATCATCATCATCATCATCATCATCATCATCATCATCATCATCATCATCATCAGCATCATCATCATCATCATCAGCATCTTCATCATCAGCATAGTCATCATCATCATCAGCATAGTCATCATCATCATCATCATCATCAGCATCATCATCAGCATCAGCAGCATCATCATCATCATCATCATCAACAGCAGCATCATAGTCAGCACCATCATCAGCATCATAATCAGCAGCATCATCATCAGCCTCGGCATCGTCAGTAGCATCATCAGCATCGTCATCAGCAGCGGCATCAGCATCAGCATCATCATCATCAGCATCATCCTCATCATCAGCAGCATCAGCATCAGCAGCATCAGCATCATCGGCACCATCAGCATCATC